CAACCCACATTCTATATAATGACAACTGTCCTTATTTTACAAAGAAGTTGTAATTTGTGGTGGCTGTCTGCCTTCGGATATGATCTCCCTTATTTTATCAAATCAGGCTTTGATTATGTATCCATTCTTTTGATTTCATTATTTAGCTAATTATTTTGTAGCTATTAAGAGCAAAGGTGCATGAGACAGTGGAAAGAGCCCTAGGTCTGAGAAGAACTGGGTTCTTGTCTAGATTTTGTGTCAAATTGCTGTGTGGCCTTGGGCAAACTCCTGTCTCTGAGCCTCAGTTTTTTGAACTGTAGTGTGGAAGCTTTGGACTAGGTGATGGCTAGGGTCCCTTCTACCTCTGATCCATTCTAATATTCTAATAAGTTCTGGAAACATTTTTTGATGCCAGAGCTTTGCTGAATGTATTTTAACAGTACTACCTTCAGTTTATGAGCGTCTGCTCTGGAGTGATGGGCTGACTCACGTATTGAAGAATGCTGCCCCCGAATTAATTATCTTGGGGCAGTACACCGCATAGGGTAAAATGAGCCATTTTGTTCATCACGACTGCAGCCTTTGCTGAAATGGAGGTTATGGAATAACAACTTAAAGGCTAACTTATTAATGCCCAGGGACGAATGAGGTAATGTGCCAGCAGACCAAATTGGTGCCCGAATGTTTTCATCTAGAGACCTGTATCTCTCTCCCATGTTGTGATATATTAATGGGGATGTCTTTATTCAATGTTACTGCCTGTAGATGTTTGAATACCATAGATGCAATATCTTCTGGGTACTCAGCCTTGCACACTATCAGTTTCTTAAACTCCAAAGACCTCTTAGTGGCTAGAAGCAAAATTCTGATGGTGCCATAGAATGCCTAATGTATTAGGATTCTAACAACAGCATCAGTGCAGTCTTTTTTTTTTTTTCAGAGGTGTTTACTAGTGAGCCCTGTACCACCCCTAACTATTTGATGGGGACAATGGAGCAAATTAGTCCTCCAAATTGTGAAGGCTGTGGATTTATGCTTAGCTGAAACATTTCTGTCCTCACAGTGTCGAAGCGGGGTGACCTTTCTGGCGTTAATTTGTCTCTCCATCTGTGCTGTGCATTTCAGGAGGATGTGAGGAACAAGCTTGATGCCACTCGTGTGTCTCCTCTCTTCACATTACTGGAGAGTTGATTGGGTTGTACTCTGCTTTTTGTTCAAATTCTGTCTCTCGGTACCTGCTAATATCCTAGCTCGTTTACTGATCGAAATGAAATTATGTGTTCTTTTGCTAGTGACAATGTGAAATTAGATGGTTTAAAAGATAGATAAATTTTGAGGCTTACAAGCATTTTACTAATCTGAATAGTAGCATTTGAAAATTTGACCTATGCAATTAGTTTTTCTAAATTTTATAATTTTTTAAATACTTGACCCTGATGTCATTGGAGATTGAAGAAGAAAGATCTATTTGCAACAATCTCCCAAGATCTTTTTTGCCTGTTTTAATTCAAATTTTGTAAAGATTGAACTAAGTCAGATGGATGCATTGATACACATTCTAATATTATGCAATTACTCTTGAAACCTGATACTTTCTGGTAAAGTCAGGCCCTCAGTAAAGAACCTTGAATATCAATGTGTTTATTAAAAACCAATGCTAAATATCACATATATAATATTCAATTCTTATACAATTGCTGAAATGGATACTGTACCATTTCCCCATATTATAGAGGAAGCCACTAAGGTTCAGAGAATTCAACAAACTTTCCTAAGGTCGGTCACACAGCTAAGAAGTAATAAAGCCTGGCCTTGAACTCAGTCCTATTTAGCTCTGACCCCAGGGGTCTTTACAGATATTTTTCTAAGGATATTGTTTTTGCAAATGTGTTGAATTCTAGGCTGAAATTGAGAGGGCTTGCTGTCATCTTCCTTCTTCCTTTTTGATGTTATGGTCACTTCTGGCCAGTGCCAGAGCATGCTGAATGGGAAGGGGAAGACACTTTGGAGCAAGAGAGGTCTCTTGGCACCTGGCTTTCTGTGAGGAGCCTCCTTTTGTGAGCATCTTGGAAAGTCAGGCCCTAGGACAGATATTCAAATCTCAAGAATCTGTTATGTGCCCCTCATAGTGTTGAAGCCTAGTTACTGGTCCCTCCGCCCCAACCTCCCCATCTGCTTCTTGTCTGGGCACACTGACCTTCTTAATTCTGCTTCTGTCTGGTATCTACTGGTGCCCCGAGAGGGTTGAAGGCATGCAAGACAGTGTCAATTTTGCTGGCAGAATTGCAGCATAAGATTACTCTTAAGTTTAGCCCTGTATCTTTGAGCAGGAGGCAATGACAAACGGTTTATTCTAAGGCCTTTGATTTTCTTTGGAATTGTAAGCATCTAGGCTGACTCATCTCTCAAAGGCTTCTCCCTCTCTCTCTCTTGGCTGACATTGTTTTGAGGTTCTCTTATTTGTTCTCATTTTATTTGGGGAGAAGAAGAAGGATTGATTTTCATCTTGATTTTTGGGTGAAAGAACCAGCTATACTCTTTGGATAACCAGCTCTTGTAACTCTTGGCAAGAAGAAATAGCTGCAACTCCAAAACAGGTACCAAAATGTTTGAATTGGGTAAGGGAAAAAAAGGGAGTCACGTAAAAAAAATTAAACCAGAGCTAGGCTGTGTATGTCAGAATGAGACCTTTGGCTAATTGATTTTGGACCTGTTTTTGTGAATCAGAAATTACTGGCTCTTAATTGGGTACTGTGGTTAGGTTCTCTGCGTGTGCCTTTGGTTAAGATGGTCATTTTGTGGATGCAGTTTGGTGGCTGGGCTTAGGTATTCACTTTGGGGCCAAGAGATATTGCTTTGCAGTTGAAGGAACTTTTATAAAGATGTATGCTAAGATTTTGCCTTATAGCTCAGTTCAAAAGGCGTAAAAAACACTCCTCATCCTATCTGCTACTGAACTTAATTATGAGGCAAGTGTTTATTTCTGACATGTGTGACTCTGGCCATTTAGGAAAATGGGCAAAAGAGAATTTGGGAAACAAAAGAAGTGAGGGATTTTTTTTTGTTTTTGAATAGAGCTCTTTTATATAGATTATTGGATGATAACCTTCTACCTATCCTTTCTCTGTCAGCACTACATTACCTGATCTTTGGAGTTTAAAGCACTCCCCCCTCCCAATAATGTATAGAATATTATCATGAAACTCCATGGGCAAGGGGAGCTCAGAAAAGTTGCTTGTGACCACTTCCCTTCTTGTCAAAAGGTTTAGTTCCCCATGTCCCAAATTATCTTCTCTGTTGGGAATAAGCATCACACACTCACCCAGACTATAAACTTTGGAGCTATCCTTCCTATTACAATAAAAGATTTCTCTAAGTCCTGTCAACTCTACCCATAAAATCCAGCCCCAATGACACCGACTTCTGTCAGCGTCTCTTGCCTCTTGGCTTACCTATCTACTTCAGGCTTTCTACCCAAACCAGGCTTTTCACTGCTCTGTGATTTTTCCAAGCTGCAGCTCTCTGTCACTTCCCACTTAAAAACCTGCAGTAGTTCTCTATTGCCTTCAAGAGAAAGTCCAGCTTCTTAACATGGCATATAGGGTCATCCATGATCTCATTCCTGCCTACCCAGATTTATCTCCGTCCATCCCCTTTATACAGCTTTAAGAATATAACAACCTCTCTCCCATGTCCTTGCCTTTGCACAAGCTGTTCTCTCTTTCCGGACGCTCCCCCCTCCTTATCTCCAGGCAGACTTAGAGGATTCCTCCTTTCTATTCTCACAGTAGTTTGTTTATATCTTGGGCGATTGACTTATCACAAGGTATTGTAAATTGTTGCTAACCTGTGTATTTCCTTCACTGCACTGTTAAACCCTTTATGAAAAGAGTATTATTATTTTGCTCATATTTGAATCTTTAGTGCCTGGCAGAAAGTGGGCAATTAATAAAGCTATCTTCTCTTTTAAATGCATGCATGAAAAAAGAAATTAATAATAGAGGTGAAGATGTGCAGTTAGGATGCTGTGTGGGGTTCAGGGAGATCCCCACTGGGGGGGCTCCTGTGCATGAGATAGTGGGCACCATGGAGAGGGGGCATCTAAAACAGGTTTGCCAACACACAAAGAAACTTCAATATACCAATCCTGTATAGAAAGTCTCATTAGAAGCGGACTGGAAATGATGTTTGTTTTGGTACAAACTTTTTTTTCAGGAAAAAATAACATAATCAAGTTGCACAATTTCTGGTAAATAGACAAAAGGCAACAGAATACTACCACTTAATACAGACGCCACCAGTAATTGGGTGCATTTATTTCAATCTTTTATTTTTATGCATGTTTTCCTTCACATAGTTGTAATCATAATTGATACAATTCTGTATTTTACATTTGTTGTTTAAAAGTTCCTTGTAAACATCACTTTAATGATTGCATAATTTTCCATACAATGGCTATTCTATGTATATAACTAGTCTTGTTACTGGGCTAGGTTTTTTCTTTTTTTACTGTTATGCTCCATGTACACATGGTTTTTCCTTTCTATAGGAAGATTTCATTAGGATAGATTCCTAGAAGGGAAATCACTGGGTCAAAGCGTCTGGGGATGACTTTTGGCTTCAGATTCATGTGTCCAGTTTACTTTCTGGAAGAGCTATACAAAATTTACAGGGCTCCTAACCTAGATGAATGTGCCCATTTCACCCAAACTGAACAGCATCAAGCATTATCATTAAAAAATAAAAATAAACTTCATCAGCGTTCTAAATAATTAATGGAAGAACATTACCTTATTCTTACCTTAATTTTCATTGAAAAATTTTAAGTAAGGTTGGTGGTAGGGGTTTTTTTAAATCTTTTCTTCTTCTTCTTTCTTGCCCAATTAGGTTTTTTCTTTTCTGGACTGTCGGTTCAGGGCTGGTTTTTTTTTTTTTTAAAGTTGGAGTTTTTTTTTTTTTTTTTTTTTTAAATAAGCAGCCAGAGGCAGCTCAGCTTGAGGGTTAAGCCGCCTCCCAGTTTTCCCTCCCTCTTTATCACCCTCCCCGCCCCCCAGAGTTCTCTCCACCAGGTCCAGAGACAATTGGATGATGCAGTCCTCATAATCATCCGATGATTGCAGAATGGGTGGCTGCATTCCTTTTCTGAAGACAGCAAGGACGCGGTACCCCAGAATCATGCCCCTTTTGCTGTTGTTGTCTGCCTTGATTTTTTTAGTGAACGTCCTGGGAGGAGCCCCGGGACACAACCCGAACCGCAGGGCCAAGATGATCTCAATACATAGCCTCTCTGAGCTGGAGCGTCTGAAGCTGCAAGAGACTGCTTACCACGAACTCGTGGCCAGGCAGTTCCTCTCTGAATTCAAACCTGAAAGAGGTGAGCAGTACCCCGGTATGTGGCATCCTCGCCTTCGGGCTGAGTGGACCCTCCGGGCCGGGCGGAACGAATTGGGGGTTTGGGGTCGAGGGGTGGGAGGGACTCTGCTCTGGTCCCGGACCTGGCCGGTTCTCCCGGCTCCTGGATAACCGAGGGAGTGGGACTTGAGGGGTGTTTGGTCAACTGGGAAGAGGTAAAGATGAGTTGAGTTGGGTCGAAGCTTGGGGGCTTGAGGGGCAGTGAGACAGGCAGATATCAGAGACAGGTGGACAGAGGACAGGTGAACAGACAGACGACCAAGTGCGGTACCACAACGAGTCGGGACGAGATGGAGGCGCAGAGAGACACTCCGAGGGGACTGGGACAGACAGAGACAGCGCGGTTGAGAGACCAAGAGTTGGAGGGAGATGGCGAGACCGAGAGAGAGACGCGCCAATCCCGGCTAGTAGCAGGAGGGCGGATGCGGGTGCGGGGAGCGGCGGCGGGAGGTGCGCCGGGAGCGCTGCCCACCTCGGCGGGCTGCTGGGGAGCGAGCGGGACCCAGCGCGGGACGGGGGTCGAAGAGCACCGGGGGTCTCCCCGGCGCGGGCGCAGGTTGGGCGGCAGAGGGGAGGTGGGGTGGGGGGTCGCGCGAGCCCAAGGGGCGCCGCCGCAGTGATGAAAAGTGCACGGGGCAGTGGGCTCGCCAGGCGCGCGCGCGGCGGGCGCAGCCGAAAATAGGAGCGCAGCGAAGGGCGAGGAGACCCCACGGGCAGCCGCCGCTGCGGGGGTCGCAGTGCGTGTCCAGCGGCGGTCGCCGCTTCTCCTGCCGCAGCAGCGCGGGGAGTCGCTGGCCCCCCGGGAACGAGCGCGCCCGCAGTAACTTAGCGACCCCTACTCGCCCGGGCGCCGCAAGCAGAGCCCCTCCCCTCGCCTGTTGCGCTGTCCCGCGGCCGCGCAGCCCTGGAATCTCAGGTTTAAGCGTCGTGTTGAGCTACTGCTGGTGCGTAACGAGATGCGCGCTGCGCACGCGGCGCCGTACGGGATCTGGTGTGGTGACATCCTTGGAGTCTCGGGAGGTAAACAGAATGGGTCCCGTTTTCAAATGGGGAAACTGAGGCTGAGTGAAAGCAAAACACTTCGCGAGGACAAGACAAAGCTGTTTGCCCCTCCCTCCCCCACCTTAGTCCCTGGGGATCAGTGCACTGCGATGTTTTAGTCACTTATCAAATCCTTTTTGTATGAGAGTGCGTGTATTTTCGTTTTTTCTCTTCCCATAGCTCTACCTACTGACCGTCCAAACACCTTGGAGAAGTGGTTTCTGATTCTGAGAGGACAAGAGAGGGGTGAGGGTCTCTCTTACTGTACTTTCCTTAGGAAAGAAACAGCATGCTTCACCCTCCTGCATTGGAGAGCCACTGCCCCTGGGGGGACTTGCTGTCTGTCCCCCGTCCCCTCCCTTCCCCCTCGCCCTTCCTCCTCCCCCTTCCTCCTCCCCCCTCCCCCACCCCCGGCTTCCAGAAACCCCGCAGGGTATGGTTTCAGGAAATGGCGCATTAGTTGCTGGAGTGCCGAGCAGTCCCATCAGTTCTGATCCCCGGTGAATCTACCCCAGACAAATCGCCCAGAAGCAACTGCCCTCATTGCTTCAAGGTGGTCACCCCCTGGCAGGTCTTAAGGCAGGGACCTCGTCGGGGTAGTGGAGTGGAGCTGAGTCGTTCAGCCGGATCACCGTAGGGTCTCTTTGGCTCCCTCCCGGGGGAGGGGCGCTGCGGGTCTGGCGGGGTGGGGGGTGGCTGGGGGTGGTTGCTTAGAGGAGGGCTACAGCCCCTGCAGTTCCTCCCGATTTAAGCACTGTGGAGCGTTGACGTTTCTCATTCCTTCTCTCCCTGGCTCCCAAGCCGTATCCCTCAAGACCTTTGGCATTCGTCTGGAAGAGGTGCTGGTGAACGAGCTTACCCGTCGCAAGCAACTTGAACTGAGAGCCGCGATGCAGATTGAAGAAGCCGCCGGTCCCGCTACAATCGGTCGTCGTCGGGGAAACGCGGTGCAAAGGATGTTTGGCCGCATCCGGCGCTTTTTCAGTCGCCGACGGGATGAGCCCTTCCTGCCCCAGGAGTTTACTCGCCGTGGGCGTAGAGTGAGTTCGACCTTCCAGGTTTCAGGCGGGGGCCCTTCGTGAAGTGTCTGGGATGTGGGGCGGGAGGGTCAAGACCTGTGTCCTCAGAGGGAAGGGGCTGCTGAACAGAACGCGTTGGAGGGGTGTAAGAGCATGTCTCCTGTGGCGAACGTGACGCAATCTTTAGGAAGGTCCGGAGTGACACCCCGCCACCGCCCCCCCCACGGCTCCCCCATTTTCACAGAGTCTGTGTTTCTCCACAGGGCGCAGTTTCTGTGGACAGCCTGGCTGAACTGGAGGATGGGGCCCTGCTACTGCAGACCCTGCAACTTTTCAGGATTTCCTTTCCAATTGGCCAGCGACTTCTGGGATCCAAAAGGAAAATGAGCCTCAACCCGATTGCTAAGCAAATCCCCCATGTTGTTGAGGCTTGCTGCAGCTTCATAGAGAAACATGGTAAGGGGCCAAGAATGGCGGTGAAATCAAGGTGGAAGGCAATTAAAGAGACTGTATTCTAGAGATGGGGAAGGGCAAGAGGTCAAGGGAGGAAGGGCTTGCAACATTCCTGCCACCAGTTGGGGTTGGCATGCGGTGGAGGAGGAAAAGGGTAGTGCTGGGGGGAGGGGTGAGCAGAGATGCTGAGCTTCCCTTGGTCTTTTCTTTCAGGCTTAAGCACAGTGGGGATTTTCACCCTGGAATATTCTGAGAAGAGAGTGCGTAAGGTAATAAATCAACTACGTTCACACTTTTGTCCCTTCAGTCAGAAAAAGCAGGTGGGGTGGGGGCTCCCCCATAGACCTGAAGAGACTGTCATGCCTGGTGAGGGGGGGGCATGGTCTTCTTTCTAGCCCCTCAGGCACACCATATAGCCAACTATCTCTACTGAGGGCTGAGATTTATTGACGGAGTGGCCAGAAGGAAGGCTGCGGTGGGCAGAGCCTTCACTGGCAGTATTCTCTTTTTCTAGCTCCGTGAAGAATTTGACCAAGGTCTGGATGTGGTGCTGGATGACTCTCAGAATGTACACGATGTGGCCGCGCTCCTCAAGGAGTTTTTCCGGGACATGAAGGACTCGTTGCTGCCAGATGATCTGTACATGTCCTTCCTCCAGACAGCCAGTGAGCCTTCCGATCTCCCTTGCTGGGCAGGGAAAGGAAATAGTACAAGGGATGTGGGGTTCTGGAGACAGCTCAGACTGCAAGACCCCAAGGCACTAAGGCAAAATGAATAGCAGAAGATGAAAATACCTCTCCAGATTCCATTACAAGTCTGTTCTTTGGAGATCTCTCTAAGCTTCTTGAGGCTGTGTGTACCCTCTCAGGGCAAAGTAAAACCTAGATTCTGTAGAGGCGGGGGTCTCATTTTGATGGGAGCACTTCTGGGTTTTAGGGATCCTGAGCACAAATGCCAGGGGAATGAGCAAAGAAAAGATGCCTAGGTACCTTCCCCATAGCCTTCAGCAATTTTCAGCCAGAATCACAGCTTTCTTTGTGTCAGGCTGCTGCTACGGGCTGCCCCCTAAGCCAGCCCCTGGTTTCCTCCCTGTAGCGCTGAAGCCACAGGATCAGCTTTCTGCCCTGCAGTTGCTGGTTTACCTGATGCCACCTTGCCACAGTGACACCCTCGAGCGTCTGCTGAAGGTCCTGCATAAGGTCACTGAGAACTGCGAGGACTCCATTGGCATTGATGGACAATTGGTAAAAAGCTCGGGAAAGGGTAGTGAGGTTCATAGCAGGGGACATGTGTGGGAATATATGAGAGAGAGAGACAGAGAGAGCATAACAAGAACAAAAGCGACCCTTCTATTTGTGTAATTGCCATTACTGCTTCTGAGTTGATCACTTCCTGCTTTCCTTTTACCTAGGTTTCAGGCAATCGAATGACGTCCACCAATTTGGCTTTGGTGTTTGGATCTGCTCTCCTGAAGAAGGGGGCATCTGCCAAGAGGGAGTCCAGGAAAACCAGACTGGGGATTGACCACTATGTTGCCTCCGTCAGTGTGGTCCGTGCCATGATTGATAACTGGGATGTCCTCTTCCAGGTAGGTGGAAGCTTTGGACACACTCATTTCACAGCTCTCTCTCTCTCCTGTTCCCAAGACCAGGAAGAGTTCTACATGCAACCCTGAGGGATAGCCGAAGCAGGCAGCCACAAATCTCCCAATCTAAAAGTCCTTCGTACAGTAGCTGCGCGTGGTGCCTTCAGTTTTGGGTACCTGATAGAGAAGAGTATAGATTTTTAAAATGCTGTGTAATAATGACTAACCTTGCTAATTTTACTCTCAGGTGCCTCCCCATATTCAGAAGCAGGTTGCTAAGCGTGTGTGGAAATCCAGCCCTGAAGCCCTTGATTTTATCAGACGCAGGAATTTGAGGAAGATCCAGTGAGTGTTTTCTGGGTTTGTTCATGCCTAGCCTGAAGGAGGATCTCCTATGGGGGCTTCTGACCCCAGGTCACCTTTATGTTAAGTCAACCCAAGTATATCAACTGACTTGCTTTTTCAAATTCATTCCCCTTCAGGAGTGCACGGATAAAAATGGAAGAGGATGCTTTACTTTCTGACCCAGTGGAAACCTCTGCCGAAGCCCGGGCTGCTATCCTTGGTCAAAGCAAGCCCTTTGATGAAGGTCAGTTCCCTGCTGGCGGTCAGACCCTTGCTGAAGGTCAGGCCTTTGCTGCAGGTGAGTCCCTTGGTGAAGGTCAGGGCCTTGCTGGAGGCCAGGTCTTTGCTGAAGACGAGCCCCTTCAAGATGAGTCCTCTGACGACGATATGTCAGTCAATGAAGAACTAGTATTTGAATATCTCAATCAAGGATTAGTCTTTGCTGAACTTCAAGGTCTTGCAATTCCAAATGACCTTGAGATTCAAGGTCCGCATCTCGAAGGCATTCCAGAGCTTGATGAAGATGATGATGATTATGATGACGATGACAGTGACGATAACAATGATAATGATGCCCTGAATTTGGATGATCTTCCTCTCTTTGAGGACATTCTAGGTGCTGATGATGAAATTCCAGACCTCATTGAAATTCCAGACTTTGAAGAAATACCATATTTTGATTTTATTCCGGGCCCTGATATAGTTCCAGATGTGCAGGAAGTCCCAAACCTTGGAGAATACCCAGACCATGACCTTGGTGAAGGACAAGATGTTGAAGACTACCAAAACCTCAACCTCGCAGAAGTTCCATATCTTGATGCTGTCCCAAACATTGAAGAAGCCTCAGATCCTAATGAAATCCCAGACGAAGAAGCCTCTGACATTGATGAAATTCCAGACCATGCCAATGACTCCGATAATGATGAAGACCCAGAATTGGGAGAAGACCCCAATCTTGACAATGTTCTAGCCCTTGAGGAAATCCCAAATGGTGAAGCCTTAAATGCTGAAGAAGATCCAGACCACCAAGAAGCCCCAGAAATCAATGGGATTTCAGACTCTGATGCAGAGTTTGATTATGATGAAGTCCCAGGTGTTCATGTGGTCCCAATCCCTGAAGAAGCTCCTGGCGTTCATGTGGTCCCAATCCCTGAAGAAGCCCCTGGTGGTCATGAAGTCCCAATCCCTGAAGAAGCCCCTGGTGGTCATGAATTCCCAAATCATGAAGAAGCCCCAGAGATCAATGGACTCTCAGACTCTGAAGAAGACCCCAATCTTGAAGAGGCTCCAGCTCTTGATGATCGAGTCCCAAATGATGAAGAAACCCCAGCTACTGAAGAAATTCCAGAAATCAATAGAATTGCAGGCTCTGAAGAATACTCCAGTCTTGAAGAGGTCCCCACTCTCCATGTGGTAACAAGCCCCGAAGATGTCCCTGATACTGATGAAATTCAAAGCCAGGAAGAATCCTCAGGTGAAAATGGAATACTGAGCAGTGAAGAAACCTCAGATGTTGAAGAAATCTCTGGGCGCGAAGAAGCTGCTGCTGTCTATGAAATCCAAGACTCCGAAGAAAATCCCAATCTTGAAGAAGACTCAGTTCTCAGTGTGGTTCCAGAGCCTAAGGACACTCAAATTTGCAACGAAATTCCAGTTTTTCAGAAAGACTTAGGCAACACTTCTGAAGAAGATGAAGTTAATGTGACTGCAGAGTTTGAAGATGTTTCCATTCTCAGTACAATTCCAGACCCTCAGCCAGACCTAGCTGTCAATCTTGAAGAAATCATGAATATGGAAACAGTCCCGGTGCCTTACACCGTTGACTTGAAAGAAGTTCAGAATCCAAAGACCGTCTGGTTTTGCCAGGAAGATGCAGATGTTACATTTCTTGTAGATATCACCTTCTTTAAGAACCAGTCTCAGCTTGGCCAAGTCATGGACTACAGGTCCTTCTTGAAGTCACTGAAGAACAACGCCTGCTTTCGCCTCTCCATGAAGTTCTGTAAGCTTCTGGGTCCGGCTTTGCTACTCCTTTGCTTAGTAAAATTAGTCAGGCTGGCTGTAGGGTGGTGGTGGCTGTTAGGAGGCCGCCCTCTTCCCCTCTTCTCTGGTGGTGGTTTCCATTTGCTCTGAGCATGGGGTATCTGTCTGACTTTTCTCTAACACGGCCTTGCCTTCTTACCCTCCGTCCCTCACAGTGGGCCTAGATATATAGATATATGTTCTACTGTTAAGCTTCAGTTTTCTTACATGTTAAATGGGGATAATCACTTCTGCCCTAACTTCTTGCTGCATACTGTATTTGAAACTCAAAATTAGGTCTTAGTCTCTTGGGTGCTGTGCAAAGTCTGAAGTCTTGAACCATGAGTTAACATTGTTACTATTTTCCAGGTTCCTCTGAGGAGCCAGCTGTGCCTCCGGGCACTGCCCGTTCCCATGACGATGAGGAAGGAGCGGGTAACCCCCTCATTCTGGAGCAAGACCGCCCATTGCTCCGTGTGCCCCGGGAGAAGGAGGCCAAAGCTGGCGGCGGCTACTTCTTTCCTTAGATGTTTTTCCTTCTCTATGGTGCCGGACAGGGGGAAAGGGTGGGGGTAGACCTGGGATGTCACAGGAAACATTAAGGAGAGTCTTGAAGGTAAAGATCTGAGGGTAAGCAGGAGTTCTACCTGATGCTCGGGTCAGGCTGAGAATTCCAAACACTGCCAGCCCCTTTCCTGGGGACGTTTGGTTCCTTCTGCTGGTAAAAGCAGAGATGTTTCTGTGTCATGCTCAGGCACCCTGGTGCTACCTTGCCTCTCTCTTTGACCCCTGATCCTGGCTTTCCCCTTACTTCAGCCGTCCCTTTCATTGATGTGACATTTGTGGTAAAATACCTGTCCCAGAGAAGCTCGCAAATCTCGAGGTGCTTTCCCTCCCTCCAAAGGGGATTGCATGCTTTTCCTGACTTTCCTACCCTCCTCCTAAGAGCTCAATTGGAAAGGCCCTCAAGAGGCATGCCAGGATGTTAGGTCAGCCTCCTGACAGCTGACTAACAATTAATGCTCAATCATGTCACACCAACTCATAGCCGTGTCCCCGCAGTCACTCCACTGCCTCAGGATAAATTTTCCAAATTATTCAGGCCAGTGGTTCTTCAAACAGCTACTCCCCAAATACTGAGAAACCCAACGAGCTTTTCTGGAGTCAAAAGTTAGAGGAAAAATTTGACTTTATTACCTAGATCCATTTTACAGAGAGCTGGCAGGCACATCCTGTTGTCAGCAAAACAGCTAGTTAGGTTTGAACACATAGTTCCAAGTAGTAAAACTCACCTGATTACAGAAGTTCTAAATTATCGTCTCTGTAGTTCCTCTATGTGGGACAGTACAAATTTGCGGGACATGCTCCGGTAACACACAGATATGGGTTACGTATGACATCCAAAATTATAGCTGTTATTGAGGGGTAACACGGCCAAGATCCATAGAATGAAGAGTGTACTGTATTGAGGGATAGAAATTGATCACACAATGGGTAACAACCACAGAGCTCGAAGATTTGTGATAGTTAAAACTTCTCTGGCATTTAATCCTTAATAAACATCTGTATTGTGGCAGCAGCATATTCATGGCTTACTGGTTTGTTTTTTGTCTTTTTGTGAAATTTTGTTGGTGAGTTGGGAAGCTCTGGCTTGAGCTGAAGGGGAAAGCGAGGTGGGGAAGAAGAACAAAAGAGAAGAGGGTGATGTGAAATAAAGGGGAGGGGTGACATGATATAAAAGGATGAAGTCAGTGAAATAAAGGGGAAGGGGTGATATGGAATAAGGGGATGGAGAAAAATGGAATAAAGGGGATGAGGTATAATAAAGGGGGGATGAGGTGGCATATGGGGGTGGGATAAGAAGAGTGGGTAATGAGGAGTAGAGGGGAGGGGGTGAGATGGGATAATGAGACGGAGAGAAATTGAATAAAGGGGAGTGATGTGGAATAAAGGGAGGAGGTGGGATACAGAGGGTGATATGGCATAAAGGAGAGCAGGTGATGAGTAGAGGGGAGGGGTGACATGGGATAAAGGGATGGAAAGAAATTGAATAAAGGGGGTGAGGTGCAATAATGGGGGTGATGGAATAAAAGGAGGAGGTGGGATACAGGGGGGTGATATGGCATAAAGGAGAACAGGTGATGAGTAGAGGGGAGGGGTGACATGGGATAAAGGGATGGAAAGAAATTGAATAAAGGGGGTGAGGTGCAATAAAGGAGGGAGATGGGATACAGGGGTGATATGGCATAAAGGAGGGCAGGTGATGAATAGAGGGGAGGGGTGATGGGATAAAGGGATGGAGAGAAATTTAATAAAGGGGATGAGGTGCAATAGAGGGGGTGAGACGGAATAAAAGGGAGGTGGAATAAAGGGGTGAGGTGGGATAAAAGAGAGCAGGTGATAAGGAATAGAGGGCGGGGGTGACATGGGATAAAAGGATGGAGAGGAACTGAATAAAGGGGGTAAAGTGGAATAAAAGTGGTGAGGTGGAATAAAGAGGCAAGTGGGATACAGGGAGGTGATGTGGGATAAAGAAGAGCAGGTGATGAGTAGAGAGGAAGTGGTGACATGGGATAAAGGGATGGAGAGAATTTGAATAAAGGGGGTGAGGTGCAATAGAGGGGGTGAGGTGGAATAAAGGAGAGTTGGATACAGGAGGATGATATGGCATAAAGGGGTGGAGAGAAATAGTATAAAAGTGAGGTGGAATAAAGGGGTGAGGTGGGGTACAGAGGGGGTGATGTGGGATAAAGGAGAGCAGGTGATAAGTAATAGAGGGAAGGGGGTGATGTGGGATAAGGGGGTGGAGAGAAACTGAATAAAGAGGGTGAGGTGGAGTAAAGAGGGTAAGGTAGAATAAAAGTGGTGAGGTGGAATAGAGGCAAGCTGGATAAGCAAGGCAAGCTGGCAAGCTCCATCAAGATGGAGGTGATGCGGGATAAAGGAGAGTAGGTGATGAGGAGTGGAGAGGAAGTGGTGACATGGGATAAAAGGATGGAGAGGAATAAAGGGGGCGAGTTGGAGTAAACAAGAGATAGGTGGGATAAAGGAAAGTGTTGGGGAATAAAGGGGAGGGGTGATATGAAATAAGGGCATGGAGAGAAGTGGAATAAAGAAGTGAGGTGGAATAAAGTAGGGTGATGAAGAATGAAGAAGAGGGGTGGTGAAGAATAGAAGTGATGCGGAGAAGTGGAATAAGATGTGAGAAAGAATAAAGGGTTGTGGTATGTGATGCAGGAGAGTAAAATGGAAGAAGGGATAGAGGAGAAGTATGGGGAAAGAATAAAACTTAAGAGGAGGCCCTCTAAAAGGTGGGGAAAGAGGGGAGTAAAGGGAGAGATCACTCAGTGTTCGCAACTAAGACATTCCCCCTGGATTGTCAAAAATGCAAACCTAGAAACACCTGGAGACATGATTTCCAAGGGCAAGAGAACATGCTTCTGTTTGACTGATGGGACGGCCAAACTTTCTTGAAATCCTAAGACTTCATGACATGCTTAGAAACTTCCCATGTCAGGGACAGGCTTCCAGAAAGAGGAATGGTGTGTATTATTTATTTTTGAACACTTTGCTTTAGGATATTTCCTTCTGTAGAGTTTTACTGACAGCAGAAATGTAATATTGGGCCCTTCCTATAATAATGATTATTTTATAATAACATAATGAAAGTTCACACATATTGAGCTCTTTGAAATATATTTAAAGCTTTACATGCATCATTTAAAAAAATATTCCCAGCAACTCTAATAGATACATGTTACTGTTATCCTCATTTTTCTTCTTGAGGAAAATGAGATACAGAGAGGTCAAATAACCCGCCCAAACTACACATCGGGTTGGTGGAAAACAGCCGGTCTTCAAAATTTAACCACTGGATTATATTCAGTTCAGTTCAGTCGCCCAGTCATGTCCGACTCCTTGCGACCCCATGGATTGCAGCATGCCAGGCTTCCCTGCCCATCACCAACTCCCAGAGCTTACTCACACTCATGTCCATTGAGTTGGTGATATCATCCAACCATCTCATCCTCTGTCATCCCCTTCTCCTCCTGCCTTCGATATTTCCCAGCATCAGGGTCTTTTCAAATGAGTCAGTTCTTCACATCAGGTGGCTGAAGTATTGGAGTTTCAGCTTGAGCATCAGTCCTTCCAATGAATATTCAGGTTTAGGATGGGCTGGTTGGATCTCCTTGCAGTCCAAGGGACTCTCAAGAGTCTTCTCCAGACCACAGTTCAAAAGCATCAATTCTTCAGCGCTCAGCTTTCTTTATAGTCCAACTCTCACATTCATACAGGACTACTGGAAAAACCATAGCTTGACTAGACTGGCTTATTCTAAACTTTTAGGATTCTTCCTCTGACACAAAGAGGTACTGAGATGTCTGCACTCAGTTTTTTTTGTTTGGATTTGCACTTTTAACAAGCAAGCTTCAGGTTCCTTCCTTAGAGATCCTTTCTTCAGACAAGCCATTAGACAGTAACTGTGACATCTCAGGCAGATTCTAGCAGTTATATCAAGGATTCACAGATATTAAAACCAGCAGAACATACAGAGTTCATCCATCCCAGGACTTCACGGGGCCAAAATAGTACCACGTGTCCTTGGAAGAGTTTACCTGTGCTTTTCCCACTCAGCTTGAAGATCAATAAATGAACCAGATAGCGAGCAGGTGACTAGATTGATACAAAACCTTCCCTTCACTTCCTGGCCTTCCCTGACACCAGGTTTTTTCCTGATCTAATTGCCTCCCCTACAGTCCTCCCTAGTGCTGACTACCAACCAAGGAGTTGGGACTGAGAGTGGTGAGTAGATATGGGTATTATTCTCTCTCTTCCCCATACTTGAAGGGCCAACACAACAGGCTTCCTTGACACTTCAAGTCCTGTCCTCTTTCTAGGTGGTCTCAATATCTCCATGGAAGGCCCATCCCACACAACTTGGCCTTTCATCCTTTAATTTCTTAGCATTTCAACTGCCTGCAGCCACCTGGCATCACTGGGCATGATTTCATCTCCAAAAGACTCAACTCCAGTATCCCGTTATGACTCAAATCTCATAACAATAGCTGGATCCCACATCATCTGCTATTTGGTCTTGTTGAGATGCCCAGTACCCCAAGCATTTTCTTTTCTCTTCCCTTCTTTTCTTATCCAGGCAGGATCTCAGGGCATATTAATTCACGTATCTTCATCCCCTTGTCCTGGAAATACCACATCTGTACTATTTACTCTCAGTCTTGGGTCCTTTTAAGCATTTGATTTCTCCAATCTCATAATGACCACCGTGAGAGAAATGTAGTAGCCCTCCAAATATCGGTTCATCTAATAGAATTTCCAACCCCAACTGAGCCCTCAGGCCACTCAGCAATCCTCTTGCACACCCTAGGTTATGTCCATCTCTAATTCTCCTCCCATTCATATTCCATTTTCTACATCATTCCCCTTAAACAGCAGTCTCTTTCAATTTAACTCATTCCAAATACATCCTCTCTTCTGCTTTATGATTGTTTCTTTTCCTCTTCTTTTTCTGGTCTTTAGGTAGGAACTTAGATTATTGATTTTCTCTTTTCTAATGTAAATATTCAGTGCTTTAACAGTGTATCACAAGTTTTGAGGTGTTGTATTTTCATTTAGTTCAATATATTGTTCAAATTTCCTAAAGGTTACTTTACTTTTTAAGTGTTTTGGGTTTTCCTGCCTGGCTCACTGTTATGGGTGGGCCTTTCATTTCAACCAGAAAAAGGATGAGCATATTTAGGCCACCTTCTCTTTCTACAACTAAGCTTGTGTTCAGGAAATGGCAGACCTAGGTCATCTTTTTCTGTTGCGTAAGAGTTAATAAGGGCTTCCCAGGTGGTTCAGTGTAAAGAATTGGCCTGCCCTGGGTCAGGAAGATCCCCTGGAGAAGGGAATGGCAAGCCACTCCAGTATTCTTGCCTGGAGAATCCCATGAACAAAGGAGCCTGGCAGGCTACAGTCCATGGGGTCGCAAAGAGTCTTGACACAACTGAGCGACTGAGCACAGACACATAGACTAGTTAATAAGATGTCTGTACTGTGCTGTTTCTCTTGTCCTAGGGTTTAAACCTTCCTCTTCTATGTTTTAGATTCTCCTTTGGTTTTCTCCGAAGATATTTCCAGATATTTCCAGAGTTGTACTTGGTAGGGAGGAGTTTGGGAGAAAAGGGGCTGTGTGATCTTGCTCTGAGCAGAAGTCTGGTTATTCTTAAAACCTTTATTCAGATATTTCCAGTTTATTCATAATTTCCAATCTATATTTTAGAGTTTACAATATCGTTAGTGTATTTACAGAGTTGTGCAACCATTGCTATAATCTAATTTAATAATATTTTATCACCCCCAAAGTAACCACATACTAATTAGCAGTCACGTTCTATCTTCCCTATCCCCCAAGTATAGGCAGCCACCAAACTACTTCCTATCTTTACAGGCTTGACTATTCTGAACATTTCATATAAAGACCATTACCGTATACTAACACATATATATGGACTTTAGAAAGATGGTAACGATAACCCTATATGCAAAACAGAAAAAGAGACTCAGATGTATAGAACAGACTT